TTTCTTCTCCCGTATCACCAACTCAGGGTCATCCCGTGGAAAGCCATAGCCCGCTACTGGCCCAGCACGCCTTGTGGAAATTGCCGACAACGCGCCAATCAGAGAACCCCGGGACCACGAGGGCCCAACCAGAACATACGACGACAGGCCCCACGTGGCAACAACCGATGGATTGACTCATCGGAACCACACCCGCCCCGAAGGGAGTTTTCAACGAACCGCCACCCTCAAAACCGATGGATCGCACGGTCTTGAATGACCCGCGTATGCTATCTGCCTTATGACCCGAAGTGGTCCGCCCTTTTCTGCCGAGTTGCACCCGTGCCCCCGACAAACCCTGCCACATGAGATCTCAGTTCTGACCTGGGACTCCACCCCCACTTTCCCAAAAATCCTTGGCACACCCCTTTTCGCACTTCCAGGCCCACACTCTACTCCGATCAGGAAGTCGCGTTGGGCATGACTCGGAGGTTGGTATCGGAGCCCGACACGTGGTCGAGTTGTAGGATTGACAGCACGATAATTGAGCAATCTGGCTAACCGAGGGCGACCTCAACCTCAGAACTCGCATAGACGCGACCCCGTCATCACCCGAAGCAGATCGGCTAATCGACGGGCAGCCAACATGAATGCTAATCCACAAAATCCGAATCCGCGGCAGAATGTTAATCAACCGAATCCTAATCAACCCGCCCCACGAGCACGGGCTCCCATGACGCCACCTGATCTCTATCTATTCGACCCTGCATATCATCTCGCAGGAGCATGGTTGGCCACGCTCAGGGCACAACAGTATGATGACAACGAAGCTCAGGTGAATATTCCCGCCCGATTAGGGGGAGACGCTCATCATTGGTTTAGTACCTATGTATGGGTGGACCTTCCGACCTTCGAACAAGACTTTTTGAATCGATTCGACTATGTCCACCCGGAGCAAGCGCTCTTCATGATCAAAGACCGGGTGCAAAAGCCTTTTGAGTCTATCGCGGAATATCGAAATCGGTTCTACCGAATGTTTGTGAAAACTGAGCGGGGCGAACAAGTCGGGAGAGATTTGTTTATCGATGGACTTCGCAGCTGAACGATAAGGGCGAAGCTGCGAAAGCAGTTCTCCCCCATCAATCATATGCTGCAACAGATTATGGTCGTTGCAGAGGAGATGCAACGAAAGTTCGCCGCAAGCTTCCTGGAAGGAGAAGACTATCCTAAGGAAGGAGATTCGTCCGAACTTGCGAGGGCGAAAGTTGAGCTGGCCGCGTTGAAAAACAAGTTCGAAAACATGGGATTTGTGTCTGGCCCAGTCACCTATCTGGAACAGATAGCCCCTAAACGACCGGCCCCGAGTGTAATTACGAGTGTCCCTGTTCCTGCGGCGCCAACACCTGTAATGACGGCACCCCCGCCCCCGATTGAGAATCCTATATGGTCAAATGAGTCCACTGCTATTTTTGAACTGACTAAAATGTTAATTAGCCTAATCCAAGAGAGCAAAAAGGAACAACGAGAACATAATGCTCGGCTAGAAGCTATGATGAGGAACATGCGGCCCATCACAGTACGTGCCGCTCCAATTCAACAAGGACTAGCCCCGACACCTGCTCTCGGGGGAGCCGAAAGCAATCTGAACGTCTGTTATGCTTGCCATCAACCAGGGCATCTAGCCTGTGATTGCCCCCACCGGCCCCCGCAACAACGGGTCGAGGTCGCACCAATGGCAGCAACCCCCATCGCTAATGGGCCTAGACGAGTAGGAGCCCTGATGGAGGAAATAGAAGGTGGAGGAAGCGCGTTAGCTACCGCGGAAGAAGCTGTTGAGCTCATCCCACTGGGCCAATATGTATTGCTTGGTTATCCAGGGCTAAGGAATGATCGGGACAATCAGACGGGCGCCAAAACAAAAAGAAGTGGCTGAGTGGCGACCTTCTCCAGGAGAGATGGAGTCGGGAGGACCCACCTTCGTCACTGGGGAAATCGATGTGTTGAATATCATCCAAGCCTTGGATCATCGGATTCCACTTCCGATTGCCCATGTGCTCTCGATCTCTGAACAGGCGAATGAGCGAATGTTACAACACTGTAAGGCGAATTGAAAACGATTCACCCTTGCTCGAACACCGAACGTAAAGGCTAAAAGCCCCACACCAGATGAAAATACGGCTGGCACGTCGGATCCAATACGGGTAGGATTAATACAGAAAGACGATCATTTCCTACGGATTAAACCCATCCCTTGGAAATTTGCGGAATGCGATATTGAAATATGGGGGTACAATGCGATCATTGATTCAAGAGCTGCTGTTTTGGCTATTTCGCTGCGAGTAGTGGAGAGGGCAGGTAGGAGAAACGATCTAATCATGCTTACGGAAAAGGATCAGCTCGTTTCGGCAGATGAAGAAAATATCAAAACAGTGGGACGGATGACCAACGTCGCTTTCCGATTAGGAAAGGTGCACGCATTGGGGGATGTCGTGGTATTGGATGTAAATACCTACGATGTCCTTTTCGGTCTTCCCGCTCTTGTGGCATTACGAGCAAACCTAGATTTCGAGCGACGGTCAATCATCCTCCGAAATACGGGAGGAAAACCCTATGATGTACCTATGAGACTGACTCTTCGTACTACCATCAACGCAGTCCCGCGAGTTTCTTCGATGATAGTGGGAACTCTTCGCATGATCACCTGGGAAAACTCCACAGACGATGAGCCATCATCTAAGGATGCGGATAGCAGTGACGAAAATGATCCAAAAATTTTAAGACTAGCACGACAGCGTGTTTACTACCCGCCACCCAGAACGATCGCAAGAACGATGCTTCTAACTACTCAGAATGAACAAAGGACCCAGACAATGATTATGGGCGAACCCCTCGTACAGATCTCGAGGATGATCGACTCTCTGGAACCCCCTCGAACCCTGTACGACGGAGCGGCCCCTCTTCTCGCACGATATAACGATAAGCGAGCCTTTTGCGACATCTCGGGCCTACCACGATCCTTGCTGTCACCCGCAAAAGAAGTATGACTGTTACGCTTGGGGGCGGAAGCCAGTTCTTTGGAACCCCCTGAGCGTTTCGAGGCTGAATCAGATGAGCGCGGAGTTAAGATCGCGACTAAAACCGTACCATGGCAAGATATCTGTGATGGAATCACCCGGAAGGACACGTGGCCATCCGGGAGGAAGACGCTCTGATGATGGCCACAGTGTTCTCCTAGCGATCGGATCATTCATTTATCTCTGCGCCACCACCCGATGTGGCGAAACAAGCGCATACGAAGCAGATCGACGTATGGATTTGGGATCAGCCTTACGAATTACACGTTCCACAGTACGTACCTGAGGAGATTCATCGTTTGATTGCGGACATCCTGACGGAATATCAGGGAGCGATTAGTGTGACGGATACTGACATCGGCTTGTCCTTGGTTATTGAGCACGAAATTCGGACGGAAAATCATTCCCCAATTCACTGCAAGCCTTACCGGTATTCCCTGATAGAACGAAAAAATGCCCTCGAACGAATCCGGGAATTTGAAGCAAGCGGTTGGATCGAACCTGCCACTGGACCATGGTCATTTCAAGTAGTGCTAGTACCTAAAAAAAATGGATTCATTCGCATATGCATCGATTATCGTAAGTTGAATAATATCACGATCAAAGATGTGTACCCCCTCCCCTGGATTGATGATTTGCAGGATGCGATTGGGTGTGCTAATTATTTTAGCAAGTTTGATATTCGGCATGGCTTCCATCACATTCTGGTTAAGGAGGAAGATCGGCCGAAGACGGCCTTCGTATTGTTTCAAGGCACGTGGCAGTGGGTTCGGTGTCCAATGGGAATTTGTAACGCGCCTGCCACGTTTCAACGAGCAATGAACGTGACGTTCCAGAACTTCGTCAACAAGACACGACTGACTCAGGGAATGATCAACTTCTGCGTGATCGTGTACATGGATGATATCCTTGTCTACTCGGAGACCTATCACGGATACGCGCAACACATCGAATGAACGTTGGGAGCGCTGAGAGACGCTGGATTCAAGATCGCGCTCGAGAAGAGCGAATTTTTCCTCTCGGAAATTTCGTTCTTGGGGTACGTAGTGACACGTGGAGGACTGCGACCGGATTCCAGGAAAGTTGCGGTTGTGAAAGAAGCTCCAGTTCCCACGTCGCTGACGCAGGTTCGAGCCTTCTTAGGCCTGGCATCGTACTACCGCCATTTTATCAAAGGGTTTGCGGCGATTGCTCGGCCTCTCACGAATCTGCTTCGGAAGGACCAGCCTCTGCAATGGGACTCTGAGTGTGGGCAATCCTTTAAAGCACTCAAAGAGGCCCTGGCCACTGCACCTATTTTGATCAGGTCGGACTCTACCAAGCAATATTCTTATAACGGACTGGCAACCAGAAGCGATCTCCGCCATTCTAGCGCAGAAGGGGAACGATGGTCGCGATCACGTCATCGAGTACGCGTCACGAACAGTGTCGGATGAACGGAAGAATGATTCAGCACCCCAAGGTGAATGCTATGCAGAAGTCTAGGGAATCCAGCACTTCCATCCGTATCTCTACGGACAAAAGTTCCGCCTCGTGACAGATCATGAGCCCCTGATGGCCTTGAAGAAGCTCACTAATTACGCGGGCATGATTGGACAATGGGCGGTGCGCCTACAGGAATATGACTTCGATATCATCCATCGAAAGACGGAGAGACACGGCAACGCGGACGGACTGGCGCGTCTGCATCGCCCTGCCACAGTACCCAAGAGTGAGGAAATCACTCTGTGGAAGGAGTCAGAACCGGCGAACGGGCCTAAGGACGGACAAGTGGCAGTTCTCCCACGTGGCAAGAGGCAGACTGGTGGCAATGGGTGACGGAGGTAATCCCGTAACCCCTTTTTCTCCGCTCTCCTCCTCATCTCTTCTCTCCCTGCCTGATAATTTTTGCTATTTTTGTGAAACAATTTCTCGCGTATATTCGGTCTCCATGCGCCCTAACGGGGAAGGCTATGTAGATTGGGTAGATTGTCGACAATGTGTCGCACGAGCCCATGACTCGTGCATCCAATACAGAAATGACGGTAAGCCGTGGCTGTTCCCCTTGTGCCGGGTTGACAAGATGCCGACCGAGGCTCGCTTTTTGGATGCCACGTCAGAAGAGCTGGAAAAGACCCGGAAGTTTAGAAGGGATGAGGTATGGATCGATATCGCTTTGATTGCCACCTTAGTGGGTAACCCCCTCCAGGATTTCACCAAGGAAGATCGGAGGAGGGCTAATGAAAGGGCTCAGGATTATCAATGGGTCGAGGGTAGATTAGAAAAATGGAAAACGGATGGCAGTGGGATTTGGATGGTTGTACCACACCCGTTCATGAGGTATGACTGGGTGAAGACAGCACACGAAGAAACGACATCCCATTTTGCCGTACGGATTACAGAGTCAGCAATCGACAAAAATGAATGGTACTGGTCCAATATCCGGGACGATGCGAAGTTCATCGTCGCAAACTGCCAAGTCTGTGCTGCTAACAAGGTGTCGGTCCAACCGCCAAGATCGATAGTACCAACGGTAGTTGAGTGGCCTTTTCAAAGGGTTACCATGGATACTACCGATAGTGTGGTACCCCCTGGTCCTAATAGTTGTGAATATTCAATCCTGTTGGTGTTTGTTGACCATTTTTCGAAATGGATGGAGGCCTACCCATGTCGCACGCGGCAAGCCGACGAAATAGCACAGTATGTTAACCGTTTTCTCGGGATGCACCAGGACACAGAAGAAATCCTGACTGATAACGGGGCGGAATTCAGGGGAGAAGTGTTAAGGAATCTGGTCATACACGGTGTCGCTGTACGGAATACCGCGCCCCACATGTCACAATCCAACGGGCTGGTAGAAAACGCCAATAGGGTGATAAAGACAGCTCTGCGACGAAATATCGCAGCACGGGATCCGAGGCCTTGGCCCGATATCGTCGACCACATCCTGGCAATCCATCGTGGAACGCCCCACGAATCGACGGGCCTGAGCCCCTTCCAATTAAGGACCAATAGCGTCGCTTGCGTTTCGATACCGAGCCTCTCCGATGAGTCAATGCTGAACCGACGGCCCACAAGGGCCACGGTTCGGGACAAGGCCAAGCGACACTTAGAGCTAATGGAACGGTCCCTCCCCAGGCTAGCCCGAAAACGCCAAAAAATGACCGAGTTGGCCCATGGCCGACAGGTCCGAAGTTACGAGGCCCGGAACGGGAACGCAGGTCCACGGCCTCAGTACAAATTAGGGGACATCGTGCAGGTAAGGAAATGTGCTCGTCAGGGTAAGCTAGCGCCACGATTCTTCGGGCGATTCCGTGTGATTGAGCTCGGACCAAACGGCGTGAACACCGTCGGCTTGCGCCTGAGGTCTCCGGCAGCCGATCGGCTCGACCGATCATCCACCACATGTCCTATCTACGTCCCCTTCCTTCTTTCCCATCTTCGCCTTCATCTGACTCCTCTTCCACTGCGGAAGAAGACGACGGCTGCTTATCACCTATCTGTCCTTCTCCATCTCGTTCTTTCTCGGATACCCCATCCCCGCCACTATCGCCATGAGCTTTTTCACAGAGTGAACCCTCGACGGCGACCATCTCTTGACGCCACGGGGTTACATCTTGGCAATTCGGCAGGTGTGCCATCCACGACTCAATCAGGATCTTCTACGGCTGGCGCAGTTCTTCTGCACTTCGGGAGTGTATGCAGCGGCGGAGTTCCGATTCGCAGGCAGTCCACAGGCAGTGATACTGGCAGAGGTGGTGGCTGTTCACCGGCGATCAGCTCCAGGAATCAGCCATGTGTCTACGCTCGTCGGTTTCAGCGGCGACATCAGCACGGTCAATGCGCTCTGACATACAGCCATCTCGACGCAACTGAGGAAGTGGGCGCAGCAACTGGCCGCGGAGTGGAACCACTTTCTTATGCGCCCCGGGGAGAATCTTTTTCCCACGGACGGCGTCGAGCTCGGAGGGATCCGATCATTCCAGCACAAGCCAGCGGTGGTGCTGCCAGAGCTCATCCCCTTCCAGCCTCCCCGATGAACCACTCCCAACTCTCCACTTTTGCCCTCCCATCTCTCTTTCCCCCCTTCTGGCAATCTAGTCTCCACCCTCGTCTCTCCTTTATCCTAGAGCCACTCGAAGTCCTCCTTCTCGATCCTGGGCAGTGGAGACTTTGGCGTGAGCACTTCGTCGAGCTTTCGGTGTGACTGGTCGGGGTACGAATCACGTGGGCAAGGGACGAAGACCATCACGAGTGGAGCGAGTACTTGGAGTGGCTGATTATCCAGACCTGGAGACGGACGTGGAAGGCTATCTTCTTGGATTCCTGTTCGGATCGGTGCGACCCAGCCATCACCAGCTAATCGTCCTAGAGCTTACGATCCCACTCGCGCAGCTAGCCGACGATCTTCCCCTCAAGATCGTCTTGCAAAGTGACGAGAGCCGGGTCCCGCACGTTCTTACACGGACCTTGGCGCCATATCCTCAGTGGTCAGCGTGCCTGGAGGAACCGGGAAATGACTGCAACCTGCCATCATGGTTGGATTATCTGAACCCACGAGAGATCATCGATCCTGCCTACTTCCGGGATCGAACGACCACCGAGTACGAGGCGATAGCAGAAGAAGAAGAAGAAGAAGAGGAGGGCGACGAGGAAGAAACTCCCGAAGAGGGGAGTTACAGCGAGCACAACGAAGGTGAGCAAAGTGAGGAGGAGGAAGAAGAACAAGACGATCAGGAGGAGCTAGAAGCGTCAGAGTGGGAAGGATTTGAGGAGGAAGTGAGTGTGGAGGAACTCAAGCGAACGGAAGCGGAGCAGGCGGAAGACCCCGAGGCGGCGCGCAAGAGAGAAGAGATCGTGGCCAGAAAGCGGCAGCTGGAATTCGCCAGCGAAGTCAATCCGCTGACCACCAACGATCCGGCCCGAGATCCAGAGCCGCCTAAGCCCGAGGATGGGGACCCGACTGCTGAGACTTTGACTGCACCGACAAGGCGAAGACGAAGCCGATCCCCCTACCCCTCCACCACCGACCGTCCACCAGTTTGAGCCCGTACTGATGCGGGGCATCGGGCTTCGTCCCCGGTCGTTATCCCGCCGTCCCCTTGACCATCTCACCCGCCGGTAGGCTACTACCAGCGTTATCTTTCCCCGCAACCCCTTCCCCTTCGACACCTTCCGCTTCTTCTATGCCACCCGTCTTATTGTCACAATCCATCCCCACCCTTCAACCTGGTGCGCCCTCCCCGACTTCTACCTCCATATCCTTCTCCTGAGCGCCGCGTGGCGAGGCCACAATATGATCGAGGTCTATTGCATGATCACGGGGACTATCCCCGCATGCGAAAATTACGACCATTTTCGAGCGGCCCTCTTCCGCACTTTCACCACCCTGTACTCGGACTATCTCGCTTCCCTCCCCCATACTGGTAATCGCTTCCCCCGTTTTCACCGGATCGTTTGATATCAAGAACTTCCGGAAACGGTGGCGAGGTTGGATAGTTTCCTGCCCCCTCTCCCGATTAACCCGCCCGCTCGCCATGCCCCCATGTACCGTCTTCCCTTCCCTCTCCCCACTGGACATTGGTGATCGGTCTATTGGTGCGCGTGCCTCTGCAACGATACGTGTAATCCGCTCCTTGGATTGTCAATGGCCCTTCCTGAGGAATTAGTAGTTAGAGCTGTGTTTGCCACACTGGACAACGTCCACACTCATTTCAACGGTAAGTGGCATAAAAGGAAAAGTTCCGCGTGTCGATCAATTAGAGAGATCGACACGTGTCAACAAGCAAGTAGGAGCTTGCTAATATTGGAACCCCCTGGGCGTCACATATGTCACGAACCGATTTCTGCGGCTCGCGACTTTCTGCACGATAGCGATGAGGGGTCCTAAGCTGGGAAGGTTGGGTCAATTACGGAAGATCGGGATTGGAAGGAAATTGCATCCGTGTCCTCGCTTCTTCGTCTTTTTGCGTCGGTTCTTTTTCGGATGGTTGGGTTTAGGGCCGGGTGAGTCCCGGGACGATCAATTGATTGATTGACTGTGCCTACGGCGCGCTGTCATGTGTTCGATTAATCAATGTTGACGTTGTTTCTTTTGTTTCGGTTTCGGATTTTTTAGGCGCGGACATCGCGCGAAAATTTTGCGTCGTTCTTTTTGAATTTTCCTTTTTGAATCTTGGCGAGCCTCGTCGGCTCTCAGAATTTCGGACTTTCTTTTTGAAGTTTGTGCTTTTTGCTTTTCCTGCATTAGATAGGAATTTAGGAATTTTGTAATGAGGACTTTTCTTTTGCCCCGCAGCGCCTTTTTGCTTACGCGCTTCTTCATGTGGCTGCAACGAAATTCTGATTAGTCGGCGCCTTTAATCATGTGTGTGTGACTGTAATTTTGGGCGGGCGCCATTGTAACTGTATCTTTTCTTCTTGTGCTTTGCCTTTCCCGCCCTTCTTCTCTTTCTTTTCGCTGAGTTTTGGTAGCCGCGCTCTGCATGATCGGATCGATGCGTAGAGAGTGACTATGTGCCCCACGCCGTGATTAGGCCATGCAGAACGTAGGCGTTCCTTCTCTAATCGTCCTTCTAAGTCCTTGTAATTTCGTGTTCTTTGCGCATGCATGCACGCTATAAATTCTGGCTGCGCGATTAGTTATCTCTCTTAACCAGCTAAGCGGAAGCTCGGGGTTGCGTGATCAGAGAGGGTCGGCACACGAACGAAGTAAGAGGTGAGTAGAGTAGGAGTCAGGCGACCCGACGAGCTGGTGCCAAACGCGTAGGGTTGACGCGGGCCACGACGAACTGTGGGCGCGGGCGAACCTAACGGGTGCGGGAGGACTAAGCGGGGTGACGGCTTTGTGGGTTGGTGCGCGACGACGGACTGTCCGCATCGGAGAGAGAGAGAGAGAAAAAGGGAGTTGGGGTTGATGAACGCGGATTTGCTGTTTCTTTTCTCTTTTCTCCCTCCTGTCTCGTGTATATAAATTTTGATTTCGGCTCCGGGTTATTTGCCTGTTTCTGTTTTTCGGAATTTGGACGGTTTTTCAATCACACTTGTTCTTGTGATTTCCCATATCGGATATGGTGTATGAATGTATGAGTGAATGAATGAATGTCATGTTTGGTTGCTTGTCTTTCTACCTGATCCTTGCCTTTGCCTTTGTTTACTGCCCTTGATGCACTCATGAGTAGGGTAGGAATTTTGTGCAGTCGTTAATCCTGTTCTCATTTCTGCTTATCTTTTGATCGAGCTGTCGGGATTGTTTTGTTTTGCATACTCGAAAATTGCGGAATGAGTAGGTAGTTGGGTAGCTTATCTTTGCGCACTTACACGTGTCCTCGTGTAGCGATTCACGACCAAACCACACATAACGAGGACGACGAACGATTGGATGTGGTCACTCCGCGTTAGCAACGAAGCAATCATCCCGTATGAACACGTGTAAGCACGATTCGATTCGCGCGGCCTGCACATGCTGACACGCGGTGATTACAATCGGCACAGCCCCGCCCTTAGGCATCTCGCAGCTCTGCGATGATATGATGACACGCTCCGAGAGCTCAAAGTCGTTATACGACCCGGAATACTTCACCTCTTGGATAAAAGAAAGCCTTCGACAGAGATACCCTTGCCTAACAGAAAACCGACTGTGTCCTAGGGAGTTTCATTGCGCCACTACCAGCGCCCCCCGATGCTCTGATTTCCCCACCGCGGAACACTTTCACTACTTTATTTCCCCTGGCTTCGTCGTTATCTCCACTAACTTCCCTCCCTTCCGTCTTCTTCTCCCGTATCACCAACTCAGGGTCATCCCGTGGAAAGCCATAGCCCGCTACTGGCCCAACACGCCCTGTGGAAATTGCCAACAACGCGCCAATCAGAGAACCCCGAGACCACGAGGGCCCAACCAGAACGTACGACGACAGGCCCCACGTGGCAACAACCGACGGACTGACTCATCGGAACCACACCCGCCCCGAAGGGACTTTTCGACGAACCACCACCCTAAAAACCGATGGATCGCACGGTCTTGAGTGACCCGCGCATGCCATCTACCTTATGACCGGAAGTGGTCCGCCCTTTTCTGCCGAGTTGCACCCGTGCCCCCGACAAACCCTGCCACAGGAGATCTCAGTTCTGACCTGGGACTCCACCCCCACTTTCCCAAAAATCCTTGGCACACCCCTTTTCGCACTTCTAGACCCACACTCTACTCCAACTAGGAAGTCGCGCTGGGCGTGAGGTTGGGTGTCACAGCGTTCCTTTGAAATGAGAGATCATCGATTCGGTTTGCAACAGACCCAATAAGCAATAGAGGAGGTGATTAGGTCCCGCACTCAAGAAGCCTGGAAGGCCATGAAAAAGGACTATCGGGAGGAAAAGAAACCTTAGGCCAAAGCGTTCGTCCTCAATTCCTATTCGTTGCAAAATTTAAAGATAGGGCGTTGAAATTACTAGAGAATCTATAGAAGTGGAGGATGATATCGTATACAGCTCTGCAGGGCAAGCGCAACGAAAAGGGGACGAGGAGGATGGAAAAACATATATTTAATATGACTTGCTTGATCGGAACCCTATTGTATCTTTTTTTTTTTTCCATTGTGGGCATTCTAGGTGCATATTCTCATCAGGCTGCCTTGATGTATCTGACCGCAATTACTCTAAGAATTCTGCCAAATTCGTTTGAGAAGTCCACTTTTGAACATGCCCTTGACTTTTAGCATGGTTTGTTCCTCTTGGTCATTGTGAGTAACCTCTTTTCAAATGCTCTCCTATCCGTGTGGGTTGTCGTCCACTTCTCTACCAAATTTGTTTTAGATCTATCCTAACCCCTTGTATCTTCTTGGCTGCTCTCTTACTCGATCATCCATCTATACTTCACTTCGCAGTTGTGTACCTTCTATATAGTTTTCTAAGCATGACTACTCATACCTTGTTTCAAATAATTTGTTGCCTGCGAGATACGGTCCTTGATACATGCGCGAGTCACATTCTGACCCTTCTTGAAGATATTTTTAGAGTTTTATAAAAAATCTACAGTATCGGCCAGATCTGCAATCATCGTGAGTATGTGTCCCTCGTGCCTTAAGTTGGAACTTAAGACAAAATAAACCACTGACATGTTAAAGCCAAAAAAATGATGGTTGTGTATTAACTCACTCCCGATTTTGTTCCTAGTAAAGACCACTCTCGCCCTGGTCGTGATCGCATTAGTTATTGTTGAATCTTCGACCTTGCTATCTGAAACCGCCTAAGGTGCTCTTATCACTGCAAATGTTTTTACTTTTACATTATACGATATCTTCACAATGATTTTTCTGCAGATATTTACTCCAAACTTCCTCCACACGACCTTATTGATTTTAATTTGGAGAGCATTTTTAATTTTCTTTGCTTCAAAGAGCCGTGCTGCTCTAAACAGACTTACTAGTCACTCTGTAGACATTTTAATTACAGATGTTACAGTCATTGGTATTTTTAGTAGTCTTTGAAGTACCATCTTATTGTGGTATGTCCTTAAGTCGTCTTCCGGGTCTTCAAAAAAATTATCATCCCCCATTTTTTTTTTAATTCTGCTTTCCTTGGTTCAAAACAAGTGCCCTATCATTGAATGCTACCATTGTCGCCCAGCACTGAGACCATCTTCATCCGCCCGTCTTTCTGAACTTCCCTTGCTCGAGGTCTATTGACTTTTCTTTTAAATTTATCATAACTAACCCCTTGTACCGTCTTGGCTACTCTCTTACTTGATAATCCATTCCTGCTTTACTTATCGGTTGTGTACCTTCTAAATAGTTTTCCAAGTCTGGACTACCCATTCCTTATTTCAAATGAATTGTCGCCAGCAAGAAACTCTCCTTGATACATGCACGAGTCACATTCTGGGCCTTGAAAATACTATTAAAGTTTTATAGAAAATGTAAAGTACCGGCCATATCCGCAATCGTCGTCAGTATTTGTCCCTTGTACCTCACAAGCTGGAATTTAAGACAAGAACAAGCCACTGACATGGTCAAGTCAAAATGTCGGTGGTTGTATATTAAGTTATTCACTCACCCACGATTTTATTCCAAGTAAAGATTACTCTCATCCTAGT